ACCTTATATAAACTATGTCAAGTCCCAGTTCAAGAAACCGGTTCTTTTAGTCGGTCCAGTAGTCCCGGAGCCTCCAACAGATCACCTGGAGGAAAAATGGGCTAAATGGTTAGACAAATTTGAAGCTAACTCTGTCATTTACTGTTCTTTTGGGAGTGAAACATTCTTAACTGATGATCAAATTAATGAGCTAGCTTTAGGGCTAGAACTCACAGGTCTTCCATTTTTTATGGTCTTAAATTTTCCTGCAAATGTTGATGTCTCAGCTGTGCTAAAGAGGACACTTCCTCGAGGTTTCTTGGAAAGAGTGGAAGGTAAAGGAATAATTCACACTGGGTGGGTCCAGCAGCAGCAGATTTTGGCACACAAAAGTGTGGGTTATTATTTATGTCATGCAGGATTCAGCTCAGTGATTGAGGCTATCGTGAATGACTGCCAACTAGTTATGTTGCCCCAAAAGGGCGACCAATCCCTGAATTCTAAGCTAGTACATGGAGACCTTAAGGCTGGAGTGGAGGTCAATAGAAGCGATGAAGATGGGTTCTTTGGAAGAGAGGATATTAAGAGTGCTGTTGAAACACTAGTTGATAAAGAACCGGGAAAGTCCATAAGAGCTAATCAGAAAAAATGGAAGGAGTTTCTGCTTAATAAAGATATTCAAAACAATTTTATTAAGACTTTGGTCGAGGAAATGGAAGCAATTGCTGGAATATCGAGCATTTAGATATAGATTTGCTTCACCTCGTCAAAGTGTCGGTTGTCTCTAAGATTTCTAGTTATTGAGTGCTACTATTGTTTTTAATAAATTCATTTCTTTGTGGAGTATTACTAGTAACTTTACTAAAAATAGTGCGAGCAATTATGGAATAAATGATGCAATATTTATTAAGCTCAGGTTTGGTTTCATATATTTTATGGAACCACAATTTTTCAACTACATATTTTATTGACTTATATCAAAATTTATTGAAAGTTTAATTTTTGAACAAACGAATCAGGACCTAAATGTGTGGTATTTAACTAATGTACCTTTTGCGGTAATTATATTTTACTTTAGTGCCAATCGAGTAACTATATTTCAATTTTGTTTAATTGGGTAACTATATTTAATAAAATTATAATCATGTATTATACTTTTATTTGATTTAATTTCAATTTAGAAAACTTTGTCCAATTTCATTAGGGCTGGACAAAACCCTCGAATCGAACCGAACGGTTTCTTCGTAAGTTAAATATCAGAATGGGCATCTAAATCAAGAACCGACAGGTGCGGTTTGATTCTCGGTTCTAGACCCAGAACTGAATAATCGAATTTAAATAATTTTTAAAATTTTTATATTGAATTAATTAATTTTTTTTAATTTTTTCTAAAAAAAATTAGCAAATTAACTAATTTAATGATTAATGTTCTAACTTCCAAGCTAAGTCTGTGCCTAGGTAGCCCAACCCAACCCAATTTCTAAATTTAATTTTTTGATTTAATTTTTTTGTCATATTATTAATTTCATTCTTGACCCAAGATTTAAGCATTTTTTAAGTTTTTATCCTTCTCTTTCCAATTTCACACTTTCATTCGGTAACCACTGAGTTAATGACTCCAAATTATTTGATAAATTGAAAACCAACATCTATATACTTAAATCGAAATCGCCGACTGTCGAGTCCGACTACCCCTCTCAATGCCTATCGAAGTTGCAACCTCCAATCACGACCACCGATTGTTGACCATTAAAAATCTGTTAAAAATTTTAATTATGGTACGGAACTGAATCGAATCGAACCCGAACATTTCCATAATTATATTTGAACTCGATGGTTCTATTTATTAAATACTTGAAAATTTTGGTTCGGTTCTCTTCAGAATCAAACCGAACCAAATCGAACCATATCCAGCCCTAAATTTCATTGACGAAAATTCAAGATTCAATAGCCAATAAATGATGATCACCATTCGTAATAATTAGTTGATGACCTGAAATATGTATAAATATTTTAACGTGTCCTTCTTGTTGACCATTCTTTCAAGCTAAAATTGTTCTCCAGTCCACATTGGACAGATAAAGACTGTCCACTTGCTGATGTGATATGAAAACATTACTTATGGTTCTATTTAAATATAAGAACCGCTAATAATGTTCTCTCCAAGTGAACAAAATATGGCTTCCCACCGTGGGCTAAACAACATTTATGCCTTTCTAGCCACCTTATTTTAAGATCCTATCATCACATACATCAAATAAAAGAATTTCTATAGTTCAAGGGGCAGTTGGAGTTAGAAAGATGTAGATTATTTTGGGTATGAAGATATTTCATGTTTTTACCTAAGGGATAAATGCACCAATGATTACTATATTTTTCTTAATGTTTTTTCATCTATCATTGAATTTTAAAATATTTATGCTAGACACTATACCTATGAAACATTATATCATACCTCACCACATCATCAATAATTAAAAAAATGGGTAGAATGGATAATAAATATTCACATGTCACACATTTGAATGATAGTTGTCACAAAGTTCAGTATCATGTCCAAACATTGTGCAAATTACTATGATCAAATGAAAAATATTATAAAAAGTATAATGGCCAACGTGATTCTTTAAAGTAAAGAATATCTGAAATGCCAAGACCCACAAGTATTAGAGTCAAGATACAAGAAACTTAAAACGACAGAAAACTAAAACTGCAGAAAAGTAAATGAACACAAGAAATTTTTCAGCCTAAACCCAAGAGGTTCGGTATAAACATACTCCCTTGTTGAGCATCCACAAAAGGATAACGCTCGGTTGCACTATACTGCCTTCAAACTGACAACGAAGGTTACAAGGAGTTCAATCAACACAAAGAATACAAACTAGAGACTTCTCTCTTCAAGGATTCAATAGATCCTGGTTGAATCACAAAAGAATCAACAGATTAGAGCTATCATCAGCAAACAAAATCCAACAACTAGCAGATTCCCACACTTGGAAATCAAGTATTCTAAGGCTAACACTCATAAATCATAAAAGATAACAAAGGATTTACAATAAACAAATCAGACGAAAACCTTAAGTACAAAGAACTCTCTCGAAACCCTAATCCTAATCGTGAGAATGAGAAAAAAGTGAGGTGAACAGTCGATTCCACGTTTTTATATCTCAGTCTAGATTTTATCTAACAACCAGCAGTGAAGACAGATGTCAGTAGATTAAAAGACCAACTTATTAAGTAAAACCGTGTTTTCCAGAAATACGACTTTAGGCTAAAATATAAGGTAGCAATTAAGCCAGGGTTCGAATCTCCAACAATCTCCACCTTGCTACCTTAGTTTTCAGGAGTATTAGTGCAACCAGGAGCTCATCTAGTTTTGTATCATATGTTCCAAGTACCTGTAGAACAATTAAACAGTGTCAATAGATAATAACTTCAAACAATTTTGAAACTTGTTTAAAGGTATTATCTTTGTCCCCATGTTTGAGGGATTAAACTGTGTTACCACTTTACCAATTGTCATAATGCCTTTTGAAATTACATCTCTAATAAAACGGTATCTAATGTCTATGTGTTTTATCCTATCATGAAACATGGGATTCTTGTTCAAATGTATGGCACTTTGGTTGTCAGAGTATAGAATTACATTTTCATCAACAAAACCAAGTTCTTTTAAAAGTCCACTTAACCAGATGTCTTCTATAAAAGCATCAGAAGCAGCAATATTTTCTGTTTCAGTGGAAGATAAGGCCACAATTTTCTGTAACTGAGATTTCCAGCTTATCACAGTACCACACAGAGTAAAAAAATAAGACGAGGTAGACTTACTATTGTCCATATCCCCAACAAAATCATAATCAGTAAACCCCTTCAAGGTAAACCCTTCTTTGTTTATTTTAAACATAAGACCAAGATTAGATATACCTTTCAAATATCTTGATAACCATTTCAAAGCATTCCAATGTTCTCCTCAGGATTACTCATAAATCTACTGAGCATGCTAATGCCAAAAGCAAGGTCAAATCTAATACATGCCATCATTTACATGACTGAACCAATTACATTAGCATAGGCGATTTTTGACATTATATCAAATTCTTCATCAGTTTTGGGACAGAAATCAGATGAGAGTTTAAAATGGTTGGCAAGAGGCAAAGTCACAGGTTTACAGTCAAACATATTAAATTTCCTTAAGATTTTAATCACATAGTCATGCTGATTTAGAAATAGCATATTTTTATCTTTATCTCTATAA